CTTGCGCTCCTTTGGCGCGCCGAAGCGCAGGCAGGCGCAGGCGATGAGAGCCCCCTCCTTCTCGTGCATGATGTGCACCGCCGCACCGTGCAGCGTGCCGGCGAGCACCGCGCGCTGGCCTATCCGCGAACCAGCCGCCGGTCGAGGGGGCGTGAGTCGTGGGCATGCCGCCGGCGAGCACCGCGCGCTGGCCGGTGTCGGAGTGCTCGAGGAGGTCGGCGAAGCCGCGCTGCACGGTGGACGAGAGGGGGAGAGAGTGGGCGAGATTGGGCGAGATTGGGCGAGAGTGGGCGAGAGGGGGCGAGAGAGTGGGCGAGAGGGGGCGAGAGGGGGCGAGAGTGGGAGAGAGTGGGAGAGAGGGGGCGAGAGGGGGCGAGAGGGGGCGAGAGTGGGAGAGATGCGCCGAGCCTACCTGCACGATCGAAGTGACGGCGAGGCCCTTGCGCGCCGCCTTGGAGAGCGTCGCCTCCATCTGGCGCAGGACGCGAGGCTTGACGGAAGGGTCCGCCGCAAACAAAGCGCCGAGCGAGTCGTGCTCTGCGCCGGTGCCTGGTGACTCAGGATCGGTGGTTAGTGACTGGCTGAGCAGAGCGAGCTGTGCTCTGCGCCGGTTGCCGAGAAGCGCAAAGTCCTTGCCCCAAAGCTCGCGGTAGAGGGAGGTGCGCTGCGACGGCGTCGCCGCGCTGGCATACGCGAGTTGCAGCACGGCGGACCTGTTCACACACCGCAGCTGTGAAGAGGCGCCGCCGCCCCGACCCTGCGCGCCACAGGAAGCTTCTCGGACCCTTCCGCGTGCGCCACCAGCTCCGGCACGCGGCCAGCGAGCTGAGAGACGACCGCCCGCTTGTGGCGCGGCGAGCCGTGCCGCAGCACGGCGAGCAGGAAGAAGTGGCCGTAGTGCGAGAGAGCGACGGCGCCTAACCCACCCACGAGGAACGGTGCGCTGCTGCAGGAAGAAGCGGCCGCTGGTGCGAGAGCGCGAACGGCGCGCCGATCGCACCCTGCACGCCCTCCATCAGCGCGTCGCGCTGGGCGTCGGTGCCCGAGCGGTAGCACGCCTGCGGCGCCCGTTGAAGGAGCGTGGGATCAGTGCGCCCTTTCATCAGAGGTGC